CGCCGTGCCCTCCGCCCGCCGTGCCCTCCGCAGGCTGTGGGAGGTTTGCAACAAGCAGCACAAGGAGGTGCTTCCCAGTGGGTCCCCCTGGAACGGGCTCCCTCCCCTCTCCCAGAGCGCTCACCCTCTGCCAGGTTTTCCCAGGAACCCCTTCTTTCTGGGCACGGGAGCGGGAGGCGAGGGGAGCCCGGGGCAGCAGGCGGCTCTCACCTCTCTGAGCGCCCGCCCAGCCGCCAGCCATTAACAGACAGATTGGTGAGGAATGAAACCGAAGCTGGAGAGACCTCCTGCTGCCGAGGGGGAGGGTGTGTGTGTGTGTGTGTGTGTGTGTGTGTGTGTGAGTCACTCTGCCCCTAAGGCTTCCGGGAGGTCACCACACCCACCAGTGCCCCCGACCACGCTGGGCCGCGGGCATCTCCAGAGGCGCCTCGCCTCCAGGGCGGCCACTGTGACCTAGAGAAGGCGCCGCCTGCAGAGCTTCGGAGATGTGAATCCACTCCACGTGGACTCGTGTCCGGCCGCCCCGCTCACAGGGCCTTGCTGCACTGGATTGCTCCGTGGGGACAGGGAGACAGACAGCAGAGAGAGAGCATGGGTCCGCGGCCTTCACGCCCCTCCATCCTGGGGACCGAGCCCCCCGCCCAGGCACGTGCGCTGACTGGAAGTCGAACCCCAGACGAGCCCGCACTCTGCCAGCTGGGCCGTCGGGCCTGGGCTCCGTCTCGTCCCCGCGGCTGCTTCTCCGTCTGCCGCCGCTGGAGTGCTCGGACATCACGCCCCTGCGCCCAGCGCCCCTCCCGGGAGGCGCCCCGAGGGACCAAGAGCCGCTGCTGGCCCCACGCGCTCGCGGGATGCTCGGGCCTCGGCCCCGACGCAGCTTAAAAGGAAGCGGCCTCCGCTCCACCACCGGCTTCTCTCCGCGGCCCTGCCTGCACCCCGATTCCCATAAGCGCCCTCCCAGCATGCCCAGGGCGGAGGGCCGAGTGGACGGGGCTGAGATCACGTTTCTGCTTCTTGGTAAATTCTTTTATTAAAAGCCAACGTTCCCGAACTCCCAGCGAACACCTCCGTGTACCGATCTGTAAGGCAGCCTGGAGAGTCCTCCCGATGCCGATCTCCCAGAGAGGACGCCCCCCGGAGAGAATGACCCCCGGAGAGGACGCCCCTCGGAGAGGACGCCCCCCGGAGAGGACACCCCCCGGAGAGAATGACCCCCGGAGAGAGTGACCCCTGGAGAGAATGACCCCCGGAGAGGACGCCCCCCGGAGAGAGTGACCCCCGGAGAGGACGCCCCCCGGAGAGAGTGACCCCCGGAGAGAGTGACCCCTGGAGAGAACAACCCCCGGAGAGGACGCCCCCGGAGAGAATGACCCCCCGGAGAGAATGACCCCCGGAGAGATTGACCCCCGGAGAGATTGACCCCCGGAGAGAGTGACCCCCGGAGAGAACGCCCCCCGGAGAGAATGACCCCCGGAGAGGACGCCCCCCCGGAGAGGACGCCCCCGGAGAGAATGACCCCCGGAGAGGACGCCCCCCGGAGAGAATGACCCCCGGAGAGGACGCCCCCCGGAGAGAATGACCCCCGGAGAGGACGCCCCCCGGAGAGAATGACCCCCGGAGAGGACGCCCCCCGGAGAGAATGACCCCCGGAGAGGACGCCCCCCGGAGAGAATGACCCCCGGAGAGGACGCCCCCCGGAGAGAATGACCCCCGGAGAGGACGCCCCCCGGAGAGAATGACCCCCGGAGAGGACGCCCCCCGGAGAGAGTGACCCCCGGAGAGGACGCCCCCCGGAGAGGACGCCCCCCGGAGAGAGTGACCCCCGGAGAGGACGCCCCCCGGAGAGAATGCCCCCCGGAGAGGACGCCCCCCGGAGAGAATGACCCCCGGAGAGAATGATCCCCGGAGAGGACGCCCCCCGGAGAGGACGCCCCCCGGAGAGGACGCCCCCCGGAGAGAATGACCCCCGGAGAGAGTGACCCCCGGAGAGGACGCCCCCCGGAGAGAGTGACCCCCGGAGAGAATGGCCCCCGGAGAGAATGACCCCCGGAGAGAATGACCCCCGGAGAGAGTGACCCCCAGAGAATGACCCCCGGAGAGAATGACCCCCGGAGAGAGTGACCCCCGGAGAGGACGCCCCCCGGAGAGAGTGACCCCCGGAGAGAATGGCCCCCGGAGAGAATGACCCCCGGAGAGAATGATCCCCGGAGAGAGTGACCCCCGGAGAGAGTGACCCCCGGAGAGAATGACCCCCGGAGAGAGTGACCCCCGGAGAGAGTGACCCCCGGAGAGGAGCCTGTTAGGAGGGAAGCGAGGGGGGTTGGAGCAGTGTGGCTCCTTCCTCCAGCGCCGACAAAACGCAGACCAATCACGCCAACAATCCACTGTTCCTGTCCTCTGCGCACAAAGCAGCCAGACAGTCCGCAGCCACCAGCTCAGCCACCACCTCCCACTGCACCACACAGGCCCCGCTCCGCCCGCAGGCCGAGCCCAGCAGGGGAAGGATCTGCTCTCGGCCGGGGTGGGGAGCCACGTGAACTCCACTGCTGCTTCGTAGGTTTTTTTGTTTGTTTGTTTTAAATCTTTACTGTTTTTTTTTTTTTAAAAAAAAATACATTTTATTAATTTTTTTTACAGAGAGGGAGGGAGAGGGGGAGAGAGAGCCAGAAACATCGATGAGAGAGAAACATCGATCAGCTGCCTCCTGCATAGCCCCCACTGGGGATGTGCCTGCAACCAAGGTACATGCCCTTGACCTGAAGGGAACCTGGGACCTTTCAGCCCGCAGGCCGACGCTCTATCCACTGAGCCACACCAGTCAGGGCAACTATGGAAAGTGTGATGTTCCCTTTTATCCCCACTGGCCCCTCCAGCCCGCTCCGACGTGTGCTTTCTTAGTAACAAGCACACGCCCGCGCTGACGTGTGGTTGTGCTTTTTATACGAATGACGTCTACGTATCCCAGGCCGGCTACCCCGGAGGCCGGCCACTTCCCCTTCCAGCGCCTCCTTTGCCGCGGGTGGTCCGGGGGGGGCAGGTGCACCGCTGTCAGCGTGGGGCTGTCCGAGAGAGAAACTCTTCCACGGCACCGCCACATTTTAATTTTTAAAAAAGTTTTTGTCCTCACCCGAGGATATTTTCCCCACTGCTTTTCAGAGAGGGTGAAAGGAGGGAGGCAGGGAAGGAGAAACATCGATGTCAAATTGATGGGAGGCTTCTAGCACACACCCCAAGTGGGCTGGGGGTGACCTGACCCAGGTACGCGCCCTGGACCGGAATCGAACCTGTGACCCTTCGCTGTGTGGGCTGATGCTCTGACCACTCAGCACACCAGCTGGTGGCTATCACGACATTTTATTTATTTACGTATTTATTTTTAAATTTTTAAAATTGATTTCAGAGAGGAAGGGAGAGGGAGAGATAGAAACATCAATGATGAGAGAATCATTGATTGGCTGCCTCCTGCACACCCCCACTGGGGACCAAGCCCGCAAACTAGGCATGTGTCTTGGCCGGAACCGAACCCTGGTCCCTTCAGTCTGCAGGCTGACGCTGTAGCCAAGCCAGGTAGGGCGAGTCACGGCATTTTAAACAGGAGTGTAGGCATCCCTGCAGTGCTCACGTGGCAGTTAGCAGATGACAGGTGTGAGTCCTGTGCGTCCGCTGGGAAGCCGGACCCCGGACGGAGACTCAGACACAGTTTCCCAGGCGCCTCTGCGGGCGCCCAAGCCACCTGGCTCCCTGCTCCTGGGCCCGGCATTCGCCCCTCTTTCCCAGGCTGCCCTGCTGCTCACCCTCCCCTGGTCACAGCTCCCCCCGGGGCCAGTGTGCGCCCAAACAGGGAGGCGGGTGTCTGTGGGCCACCCGAAACTACACAGCATCTGGTCCGTGCATTTCTGAGCGGACCCTGTCCTGTGGGTGGGGAGCTGAGGGTGGCGGGCAGCACCCCGGCACAGAGCGCGCTGCCTGGCCCGGACTCTGCCAGCACCCCTGGCTTCTCAAAAGCCGAATTCACTCCGTCTGGGTCCTCCCCAGCTTGGTGAGCGACGCCCCAGATGGGGCCATGGAGGCCTCCGAGACCTCTGAGCTCGCTGCCCCAGACCCCAGCATCCCACTGCTGCCCACGTGTGCGGCTGGTGTCCTGTCCGTGCCCTGGCCCCACCTCGGGGCTGTTGGCACAGCTTCTGCTCTCCGTGGCCCGTGCTTCCGTCTGTCTCTGCAGCCGTGGGTGCCAGGCCGCGGGTCCAGGGGCTCAGGGTCCCCCCACAGGGCGCTGACCTCATGCCCTCTGCCCCTCACCGTCCACCCAGCATCTGCCGTTCCGGCCCCGCCACATCCCCACGCGAGGCCCACGCGTGCTCTTGTCCCTTCCCCTCCGCTGCGGAGACTTCTCTTCCTTCCCCGAAGGCAGGTGAGGGCTTCTGCACCCCAGTCCCGGGTCAGAGGCCCCCCTACAAGCCCCCTGACCCCCGAGTCCCCCCTCCTACGCCCCCCCCCCCTTCTCTCCCCTCCCCTTCCGGGCTCCTGACTGTGTGACTCCGGCATCCCCTGTCCCTGGGGCCTGGCTCCTGGGTTACAGGGCTGTCCTTGGGGTCTGCCCCCTCCCCCCCAAGACCGGACAGTTCACAGGGGTCCCCCAGCCCAGGCCTGGCTCCGGGGAGAAGCCGGCAGCGAAACGACCCGTTTGCGGGTTATGTGATGCACGTGGCCGCCCGCTCCCCATGGGCATCAGCAGAGCCCGGGGGCTCGGGGCTCAGGCCCGCAGAACAAAGGGGCGCAGGGTGGCGGGGGGGGGGGGGGGTGTCCGGCTCAGGCCCAGGGGCAGCCCGTCCTCCGCGTAGACAGTGGGGGGCGCGCGGCGTGGGACCGGCGGCGGCCTGCGGGCGGGAAGGGCGACCAGGATCCGGTCCGGACAGACCTCCGGCGGCGGGCGGCGGGGCCGGGCCGGGGCGGGGCGGGGGCCGGCGCCGGGGCCGCGCCCTCCGGCCACTCCCCGGGGCAGCGACCCGGCGGCTCAGAGCGTTGCGCCCGCGGGAGCCGGTGCCGCGGCCCATGTCCCTGCGCTCCTCGCCGCTGCGGACCCCCAGGATGAAGAAGGAGGAGACCTTCCTGGGCAAGCTGGGCGGCACGCTGCGGAGGAAGAAGGCCCGCGAGGGTGAGTGCGCGGCCCCGACCGCCACCCGGTCCCGCCGGCGCCACGGGTCTCCGCGCCCTGCGCCCCACGCACCGCCCCGGATCTCCGATCCCCGATCCCCGCTCCCCGCTCCCCGCCGGGGCCACGCGCCCCGGATCCCCGCTCCCCGCTCCCCGCCGGGGCCACGCGCCCCGGATCCCCGCTCCCCGCTCCCCGCCGGGGCCACGCGCCCCGGATCCCCGATCCCCGCTCCCCGCCGGGGCCACGCGCCCCGCGCACCCGCCCCGGGCCCCGCCTCCAGGCCGGCGGCGCGCGGCTGTGACCTTTGGCGCCGCCGTCACCCGCTCCTCCCCCTCCGGACCTTTAAGCCGCGGAGCTGAGCTCCCGGGCGGCTCCCGCCCCGGAGAGTGTCCCGCCCGGGCCCCTCCGCCCCGGAGAGTGTCCCGCCCGGGCCCCTCCGCCCCGGAGAGTGTCCCGCCCGGGCCCCTCCGCCGGGGCGGGGCTTGGGGCGAACAGGGCGCCGGGCCGGGAGCGCGGGCCAAGGGCACCGCGGGCGGCGGCTCCTGCGGCCCTGGCTGGGCCCCGTCCCCGGCGGCCCGGGTCCGGGGGGGCTGGATGGGGGGATAGGCGGTCAGCGGAGGGACAGGGCGCAGAGCGGGCGGCCCGCGGGGAGGGCGCTGCCAGGAAGGGCCACCGAGACCCGTTCCCGCCCGCGGAGGGGTCACCGGCGCCGGCGCGCGCCCCGCGCTCGGGCTTCGCCGCTGTCCTGGGGACTGGGGGGAGGGCGCTGTGAGAGGCAGGTGCCCAGGGGCGGCCTCGGGCGGTTGTGGGAAAGGAGGGACCTGGAGGCGGGTGTGCAGAGGCTGGTCTCCTTCCTGGGGAGTCTGCTGCACCCCGGCGTGGGCATAGCTCGGGGCGCATGTCCCCCTGACACACCCAGACAGGGCACGCACTGAACCCCACTGTGGTCCTTAGGCTGGGGACACAGTGCCTTGGGGATGCTGCACCCCATGCTCGTTTCCTCCAGGGTTCGCTCTAACCAGTGAGGGCATCAGGTCCCAGAGGCAGGGCCTGGTCAGGAGCCTCTCCCTGAAGGACCAGACAGAGGCCGGGATGAGGCCCGGGAAGGCATGTCTCCTAAAGGAGATGGCAAACTGCCCCTCATCCCCGCTGTCCTCCAAGTGCGTTCCCCCCCCCCCCCCGACTGTCCTTGTCATCCTGGCTCTGGGGGAGCCCAGGCAGTGGTGTTAGCCAGACCCAGGGGCCCCTGATAACAGGTTCCGGAAGGACCCCTGCCCCCCGCAGTCAGCTAGGCGGCCTGGGCCCCCTGGGCCAGGAAAGGCAGTGCTCAGACAGCAGGTCAGCGACACGTCCGGGCTGTTCCCGTGTCTCACAGGTGCCATTTCCGCCCTCGGAATGCCAGGAGCACGGGCCTGGGGCCATGGACGGGTCCCCAGTTCCAAGGGGGGTACCTCTGGCCCAGCCTCCAGACGTGTGTGAGCCGGAATATTTGGGGCCAGTCTGCTTTCACATAAATGCACCAGGCACCCCAAGCTCACGTCATTCAGGGGCCATTAAATAGGCAAAGCACCTGCTGAGGAGCAGGAGACGTGGACACAGCCGAAGGAACAGACACTGTGGCTTTTGTGTTGTCTGCTGGGTCCCTTGCCTCGGTTCTCAAATTTGGGGTGCCTGGCACCCTCAGGGGTTCCCCCATAGAAACCAAAGGCCTACAACCATAACTGGGCCCCGATGTGGGGATGGGGGAGGGCTGGTCTCTGGGAAGCGGGGAAGGAGCAGAGCGGAGATGAGCTGTGAGGCTAGGGACCCGGGTCCTGACTCCAGCTGCCCGCGCCCCCGCAGGCCCGGGCCCGAGCTCGCCCTCGTGCGGGTCTGGAGGCCGGTGAGCTGGAGCGGGGCCTGGCACAGACGCTGGCCCTGCGGGAGGGCGCTGATTTGCCACCGCAGGGCGGTCAGGAGAGGCACTTGGAGGTGTGCTCGGGGCTGCCAGTGTGGCCTGGGTTTCGCGTCCTGTTTGTTAGAAAGTTCAGGAGCGGGTGTGTGTGTGTGTGTGTGGCGGCCCCACAGCACCGCCCAGAATCAGAGGCCGGTAGCGTCTGCCCGCTGGGAGGACAGCGTTTTGGGGCTGACAGGGCACGTGGGGGCACGTGGGGGCCCCTGCGGCTTCCAGGGGCGTCACTGCAGGAGGGTTTGCTCCGCGCCGGCACAGCCGGCAGGAAGTGTCTGGGGGTGAATTCTCGGCGTGACTCAGGCTCATACGCTCTGCGCCGTGTCACATGGGGCCGTTCAGAAAGTGGAACTGGGACCGCCGGCACCGAGGACGGAGGCGGGCGCTCGGAAAGGAAGCCGGAGCCCCCTGGGGCCGGGGCGCTCAGGGGCAAGCTGCTCCGAGCGGGTCCGCTGTGCCGGCTCCGAGCGAGGCGGGAAGAGAGGCGCCCACGCGAGGTCCCCCTGTCCCTCGTGAGGTGCCCTGTCCCCCCGGAGGGAGGCCCCACAGGTCCCTCTGGCCAGGAGGCGGGCGACGGAGTGCCCAGGGATGCCCGGCTGCTGGGTGACACCTGTGAGGCCAGCTCCGGGCCCGTGACCCTAGAGGGGAGGGCTGGACAGTCCACTCCATGCATGTGCCACGCGAGGCCCCATGTCTGCCCAGCCACCCGGGACCAGCGCAGGACTGCAGAGCCGAGGCCACCAGAGCCGAGACCACCAGAGCCGAGGCCACCAGAGCCGAGGCCACCGGAGCCGAGGCCACCAGAGCCGAGGCCACCGGAGCCGAGGCCACCGGAACCCAGGCCACCGGAGCCCACACCGAGGCTCTCCGTGGGGAGAAGCATCAAGGAAATGCGAGTCCCTGGCATCCTGTTTGTTGTTATTGTTACTAAACATATTTTCAGAGTGGAACTAGGGTCCCATTTCCTTTTCGTGTGGTGGGTGCCATCCGTGTGTCTGCTTCGGTCTGGTCAGCCCTCTGGCCTTTGTTTAACCGTTGGACGTCAGGGGTTCCTGGTGTGCTTGGTTACGTCTCCTTCATCGGACGCCGTATTTCCTCCGTGTCCGAGCCTGTCTTCTGTCCCCCGCCCGGGGCGCCCGCTGAGCAGCTGGTCAGAAATAGTAACAGCTAAGCCAGACGCTGCCCGGGGCCTGCAGCCAGCTCTAAAGAACTCGCCAGGTGGCTGCGACCTTGAGCCCAAGGTCGGTGTGTGCTGGGTCCTTCGTGGACTTAAATTACTTCCCGGAGAGGAACCCCCGTCCTAAACCGCTACCTGCTCGTCCCAGGAGGGGGGGTTCCCTTCGGAGCGCCCCGGGTGCCAGTGGACAGCTGTGTGGACGCCACGGGAGCCAGCCCGGTGGGGGGGGAGCCCCTCATTTTATGGCTGAGGAAGCAGCCTTCCCTAGGACCGTCCCAGCTCCTGCTGCGGGGCAGAGTCGCCCGGCGGGAGGCAGAGTGCCTTTCGGGATGGTTTGCACAGAGAACTGGGGGGGCGGGAGGGGAGGAGAGAGGGGGGACACAGTGAAGGGATCTCCATGTCTTGTTGGGTAGCAGGTCCCAACAGCCCCTCCACTTCCCTTTAAAAGGAGAGGCACAATGTCCTTCTCTCTGGCAGGACAGAGAGAGGCTTTGTCATGCCGTCCCCTCCGCCCGGCGGGTAGGACCGGGCGTCCGCCCATCTCTGGCAGGGAGCCGGCCGCCTGCTGGAGGGCCCTTCGGGAGGGAGGCGCCATCCTGGGGAAGGCCGTGGACTCCTGCCCTCTGAGAAGGGAAAGAGAGCGGCCGGTAAGACGTGGAGGAGCCGTGCACGTGGTGGATTCTAGAATGTTCTCTGGGAAGAGAAGCCAGGAGAAGTAGATCCATGCTGAGACCGGTTTGGCTCAATGGATAGAGCATCGGCTTGGGGACTGAAGGGTCCCGGGTTCGATTCCGGTCAAGGGCATGTACCTTGGTTACTGGCATATCCCCAGTAGGGGGTGTGCAGGAGGCAGCTGATCCATGACTCTCTCTCATTGATGTTTTTCTAACTGTGTATCTCTCTCCCTTCCTCTCTACAAAATCAATAAAATATATTAAAAAAAAAAAAAAAGAAGTAGATCCTGGGAAAGGACCCAGGGGGTTTACCTGTCCTAAGACGTCCCCGGAGATAAACTTGAGCCGGGCAGGTGTTGGGACATTTAAGTCGTTGCTAGCGAAGAGGCTGCTCTGTGCATGCAGGACCGAGGGCAGGCCTAGGACCGAAAAGACCAGAAGCTTCATTTCAGTTTTAAGCGCTCGCACAGTGATTCCGCTAACTGTGGAGGACTCACAGCACGTGAACATGTGCAGCTGCAGATCACGGCACTTTGTTACTCACACACGCTCCCGGGGCTGCGGTGCAGGCTGGAGGGGACCCGGGGTGCTGTCCTCGGGGTCCGCAGCTGGGCTGGTCCGGTCGGAGGCAGGGCCGGCGCCCCTCACCTGGAGCTCGCTCTCCTCACAAAGGGGGGTACCGGCCGTCCTCTGTCGTCTGCTGGGAGCGGAGCAAGGAGGGGCGGCGCCTGCCGATGACAGAAGGACGTGCCTGTGTGGCGGCCTCGACAGGCCAGCATGTTGGCTGTCAGGACCCGTTTGTAAAGCCTGTTCTGTACGCGCAGCCGTTCAGGTGGCTGTCAGTGAATGACGTCAGTGCATGCGTGTTCATCCCAAGGGGGCGAGGGGCTGTGTGTAGTTATCCAGGGAGAGTACATCACGCACACAGATGGTTACCGTGTTTCCCCCAAAATAAGACATCCTCCGAAAATAAGACCTAGCGCATGGAAAGATAAGACATCCCCTGAAAATAAGACCTAGCGCAACTTTGGGAGAAAAAATTAATATAAGACACTGTCTTATTTTCGGGGAAACGGTATCTTAGCGAGTCCCTCGGAGTCAGTGACTGACGTTCAAACCCTTGTCTCTGGGGTCACACCCACTTCAGGGCAGTGGGGAATGTGTCCTTAATATCACACCTTACGTTTCAAGAAAGTTAACT